CATGGCAGCCATGATGGTTAGCGCGGGTCCCAGAGGAGATGTCCGTTGCCTCCCATGTTGAGTGCACGCACAGGCACTCCCATGCCACCTCCTCGCCCCACCCCCCAGCAGTCGCTTAGGTGGCTTGGTTGGAGGACCAGCCCTGCTTTGAAAGGTTAGACGTGCAGCCCAAGTGACACTTGTTTGCCAAAGACTGCAAACGAGAAGAAACCCGGTTGGGAGGGAAGGCGGAGAGGGAAGGAATGAGATTCTGAACTCTTTGCTTGTGCGCCGTTTCTGATAATAAAAACTGCCCTGCCCGAGTTGCTTTTTGCCCTGCAAGCAAGGAAGTACACGAACGCCACGCAACTCGGCCATCTGGAATAGTTCGGCCTGGCTCCGGGGGCTACTTTCCGAGACAATGAACAGGGTTTTTTTTTTGCTGAACAGGGGGTTGTAAGGCCTCCTCTGGCTCAGAGCCCCATTCAGAGACACAATGGCCAACCTCTGCATTTATAGCGAGCATACCGTTCACGTAAAAGAGCTCAAAGGCGACATAACGCCTCTCCCACAATTTCAGAAACCGTCTGAAACAAAAAGCAAGAAAAGGGGACAGGTACAGAAGCACCAGCCGGGTCCACGCGAACCTCTGCCTAATCCCAAAGAATGCTTTAAAGATGCCATTCTCTGTACACTTCCTTGCAAGGAGGTCTACTGGAAATCAGCGAGATCAGCTTCCTAGTAAACGTTCGTCACGTTATCCCAGAGAGGGCGCCGTGCTTACACTTGTTACAGCCAACAAAACACAAGTCCAGCGGCACCTTGAAGTCTGAACAGAATTTATTCCATGGATGCCAGGTTTATGGTGGAATAAATTTCGTTTAAGTCTTTAAGGATTAGTTTTAATCCCACATCTGACCGGCCTGGGAAGAAGGTGCGAAAGTTCTCCTGTTTGTACTTTGAACCATAACAAACCCGGAGGGTTTACGATCCGGTGTTAGCTTGGGGAAGGGGTGGGTGGGACGAAGAACAGCCTTTGAAGAACCACACGCGTGCCTTCCCCCCCCCCCACACACACACAGCCCCAAACCCGCAGGAACCGGGCGATAGAAGGAAGAGGGGTCTACTTACGGGCAGGAAGGATGCAGGTAGCGCAGCGCCCGGTTCCGGTTCAAGTGTGGACTTCGCCCTCTTCCTTGCCAGATAGCATTATCAAATTCAAACTCACCTTTTGCAGATTTGGTCGGGCAAGACAGATCAGAGGGCAGGCACATTTAAAGGGCCAGCCTGGGCACTGCTGGGCAGGAAAGTTGAGAGGAGAGAGAAGCTCCAGCGGCAATTATCAAGGCCTGTCAGATGAGCCCTGAAGAAAGTGAGGGACCCAAAGGCTTCAAGAAGTGGGGGAGGGGGAGATCACTAAGAGAGATCATGAGGCACCGTGGGCTGGATCCTGCGTGTCTGCCCACCCACGGCAGCGCTGGGCACGGTGCAAGGAACCTTCCTCTTGGGCACCCCTCGGCAGAAGTGAATGCAGTCCTAAGAACTTGCAGGGAGGGCGGTATGATCTGAACCCCCTGACTCTGCCCACCCTCCTAACAATAAGGGTACTCTGGCAACACGCTCCACCCCACACACTTCTTTACAGACAGGGATTAATGTGTAAGATACTGCCAGAGGAGGTAGTGATGGCCACAGGAATCAACAGCTTTGAAAGGGGATTAGACAGATTCGTGGAGGATACAGGTTATCAGTGCCTACTAGCCATGGGGGATTAAGGGGAACCTCCATGTTCAGAGGCAGTCAGCTGCTGAATCCCAGAGCCAGGAGGCAACATCAGGGGAAGGCCTCAGCCTCCGTGCCCTGTTGTTGGGCCTACAGAGGAACTGGTTGGCCACCGTGTGAGGCAGGATGCTGGACTAGATGGACCCTCACTGGTCTGATCCAGCAGGGCTCTTCTGATGTTCTTATCAGGGGCAGGCCTCGGCCTCTCTGCCCTGTTGTTGGCCCTCCAGAGGAACTGGTTGGCCACCGTGTGAGGCAGGATGCTGGACTAGATGGACCCTCACTGGTCTGATCCAGCAGGGCTCTTCTGATGTTCTTATCAGGGGCAGGCCTCGGCCTCTCTGCCCTGTTGTTGGCCCTCCAGAGGAACTGGTTGGCCACCGTGTGAGGCAGGATGCTGGACTAGATGGACCCTCACTGGTCTGATCCAGCAGGGCTCTTCTGATGTTCTTATCAGGGGCAGGCCTCGGCCTCTCTGCCCTGTTGTTGGCCCTCCAGAGGAACTGGTTGGCCACCGTGTGAGGCAGGATGCTGGACTAGATGGACCCTCACTGGTCTGATCCAGCAGGGCTCTTCTGATGTTCTTATCAGGGGCAGGCCTCGGCCTCTCTGCCCTGTTGTTGGCCCTCCAGAGGAACTGGTTGGCCACCGTGTGAGGCAGGATGCTGGACTAGATGGACCCTCACTGGTCTGATCCAGCAGGGCTCTTCTTATGTTCTTATCAGTGGCTACTAGCCGACTGAAGAAAACCTCGACATTCAGAGGCAGTAAGCCTCTGGATCCCAGAGCCAGGAGGCAACATGAGGGAAAGGCCTCGGCCTCTGTGTCTTGTTGTTGGCCAACTAGTAGCTGGTCGGCCCCTGTGTGAGACAGGATGCTGGACTAGATGGACTCTCACCGGTCTGATCCAGCAGGGCTCTTTTGATGTTCTTTTTGTGGCAAGAACATGAACAAAAGCGGATCATTTTTCTGCCTTTCATTTCCAGTGGCGGATGACCGGTCTGAGAAACATTCCGGAAAAGATCTTCATCAGTTGTCACCATCACCTGGCAAAATCTTTCAGGCACTGTGCGCAGTTGGTGGGGCGGACCAGTAAGGCGATTTTATTTCAGGGGCTGCAGCCGATAGCAGAATTGCAACGTTGCTTCGGAAGGAACCTTTTGCGTATATTGTGCAGAGGCACAAGGGTCTGGATCCTAGCAACTTTTCCAGTGGGGAAGACGGGAAGGGGGTCCCCTCTGATCACCAAAAGCGATCACGGAACCTGCGTGCCAAGACAGAGTTAAAAATCCAAGCCCAGGAATGAGGTGCGCCTTTCCTTCTAAACCATGCACTGTTGTGGTGCTTAGAGTCGCAGACTGGGCCTTTAGAAGAAGAAGAAGAGATTGGATTTATACCCCGCCCTTCACTACCCATGGGAGTCTCAGAGTGGCTGACAATCTCCTTCCCTTCCCCTCCCCACAACAGACACCCTGTGAGGTAGGCGGGGTTGAGAGAGCTTTGACAGAGAACTGCTCTTTTTTCGAGAACAGCTCTTATCAGAACTATGGCTTACCCAAGGTCATCCAGCAGCTGCATGTGGAAGAGTGGAGAATCAAACCCAGTTCTCCCAGATTAGAGTCCACACACTTAACCACTACACCAAACTGGCTTTATTCTCACCCTTTCGCATCTCATGACTCACCAATCGCTCTGATGGAGAATTTGGGTCCCGCCAGAGTAGAAACAAAGAGCCCCCCCCCCCAAGAGGGACATTTATTGGTTCTGTTATTATATTTATCATTTTCAGCCAGTGTTAAGGACATTAAAAAAATTACAGTGCCTTAAAAAAACCAATGGATAATCCCTGATCGGCAGGAAGCGGCGCATCAGACAAGTTCTGGCGGACGGGGGAGGGGGCACAGGGGGTTAGGGTTAGCATTGAGTGTCCGAGGTTAATACTTCCATGGAGACAGATCAAGATGGGTGACTGTGTCTGTCTGTAGCAGTAGAAAATGGGGCTGCAGTGGCTCCGAGGTTAAGATGCTGAGCTGCAGACTGGGACGCCGAGGTGCACGGGACGCTGTTCCCTTCCTACCGAAGCAGTACCTGTTTATCTACTTGCAATTTCATGCATTCGAACTGCTAGGTTGGCAGGAGCTGGGGACGGGAGCTCACTCCATCATGCGACACACTCGGGTCTCGAACTGCTGAACGACCGACTTTCCACAGCCTGCAGTTCAGCGTCTTAACCACTTGAGCCACCGCAGCTCCCCAGCCTCAGTTACCGCTCTGTAAAAAACACAGCCTCAGCCTACCCCGGATTGTCGCAAGTACAATTCTTGAAACCTGCAAAGGTCTGTGCGTTAAGCTGCAGATGGTGTCCCCGCGTCGGGGACCCTACAACGTACGTAGCAATGGTCACAAAGCTGCCAACTTCTCTGCTCAGGAAGATGACTTCAGGTGGGCAGCCACGTTGGTCTACAGTGGAAGCGCAAGATTTGAATCCAGGAGGACCTTAAAGACCGACGAGATTTGGGGAAGGGGTATGCGGTGGCTCTAGTGGTTAAGACGCTAAACTGCAGGCTGTGGAAGGTCTGTAGTTCAGCAGTTCGAGACCCGAGTGCGTCGCATGACGGAGTGAGCTCCCGTCTCTAGTTCCAGCTCCTGCCAACCTAGCAGTTCGAAAGCAAGAAATTGCAAGTAGATAAATAGGTACCACTTCGGTGGGAAGGGAACAGCGTTCCGTGCGCCTTGGTGTTTAGTCATGCCGGCCACATGACCACGGAAACGTCTTCGGACAGCGCTGGCTCTTCGGCTTGGAAACGGAGATGAGCACCGCAACCCTAGAGTCAGACTCGACTGGCTTTCGAGCAAGGGAACCTTTACCTTTACTTATGAGGTTTCGCGAGTCAACACTCCTTTCGTCAGAAGGAAGTCAGAATGGCAATCTCCAAGTCGTTTCACATCCTGGTCAGAAGGTGTTGCAAAGAAGGAACTCACGATGCGGAGGCACAGTGAGCGTTGCCATCGTCTTGTATCTGACAAAGGGCGCTTTGACTCTTGAAAGCTCACCCCCCCGCCCATTTTTTTTGGTCTCTAAGGGGCACGTAATGATTCCATGTTTTGGTGTGTGTGTTTCTTTAAATGTTGAGCTTGACTGCAGTAATGTAAGGAGTGATAGAGGGAGACAAGTGTGATGTGATTGGCTGATGACTGAGAGTGTGGGAGGAGCAGGGGTCATTTCCTGCAGGAGCGCACAGATGAGCTCCGGCAGTAACGAGCCCAGGGGGCGGGCACATGCAACAAGCCCCACCTCCTGCTCCCAGCAGCCCTCAGTCAGAGCAAGAAGCAGCCAGGTAAGCTGCAGAACCCCGCCCCTCAGCCCAAAACAGTCCAGCGGCACCTTTAAGACCAAGTTTTATTCAGGTACAAGCTCTCCCTCCTCTGTGAGGGCAGATCTACACATCTCCTGCCCCCATAGCTAGCAATCCAAAACAGTCCAGTGGAGCCGGAGTGGTGGGTGTTGCCTTCTGACACACTTCCAGTGATGTCAGGGGGTGTGGCATATGCAAATAAGTTATGCTGATGAGTTATGCTAATGAGCTCCTGAACCTCTTTTTCTATGAAATGACCCCTGGGGAGGAGAGATGTCTATGAGGTGATTCTGTGTGTGAAGTTTGGAGAGTCTGTGTGACTATGAGAGTTTGAGTGTATTCTGTGTGAATAAGACAAAGAGTTTAGCCTGTGCGGCTATATATATGAGAGATTGGACTGAGTGTCTAAGCCTGACAGAGTGGAGTTTTGTAGTCTGAGAGACTGCTTGTGACGCCAAGTTTTGCCAGTTATATTGACAAGTTCCTTTCTTCAGCAACAGTTCAAAATAACCAGAAACCTATTTTGTTCTTTATTAAATAAATCACTTTTTGTTTAAACTTATCCCAGCAATCAGAGTAGTCCTTCCTCGGGACCACATAGTCCTCTGAAGTGTCCAGACACTGGGTCATTCTACCAAAAGAGAGATTTGGGATTTTAATTCCTGGTGGCAGCGAAATCTACTAAGTTCAGGTACGCAGAGTGTGAATTAAAGGTAATACAATCTCCCCAATAAGCAAGGACCTCACAGGGTGCCTGGACTCGAATCTGGCTGTTCTACTCAGGAAGGGGGTCACACCCAGCCTGGATTGCACATGACGTTTGCAACTGCTTTGCATTTACATGGCACTTTCTGCATCCTCCCCCACCCTCCCCTTAAAACCTATATATCTCCGGCCAGTTTCTTCATGACCTCCATGCATCCGACGAAGAGAGCTGTGTTTCTCGAAGGCTGATGCTACGATACAGGTTGTTCGTCTTAAAGGCGCTACTGGGCTTTTTACTATCATACTCAGGAAGAGTCGCTCTGCCATTCGAACACAGCCACTTGCTCGGTTTGAAAAGCGCCGGGCACCCTATCCCCTCCCCAGCAATGCCCCCTGTAAGCTGTGGCATCTCGTGAGCAAAAATTCTACTTTGTGAGGCTGCTGGCATTGAGGTTGTGAGCGGGCGATTTGGCTGCTGCGTAAATTAGTCGGCTCCGGAGCACTCCTTCCTGAGCAAGAACAAAAATGTGTGAGACGGAGGCTAAAAAACTGTGAGCCGGCTCGCGCTAACTCAGCTTAAGAGGGAACACGGCTCGCCAGGATCATCTAATTTAAGGCCGCAGCACAGTCTTCCAGTCGAAGCCGGCAGCCTTTGAGCTTTGCCTTCCCTCCTTGACGTAACCTTCGCTCTCCTCTTGCTCTCTCACACACACCCATCTTTGTTTTTGGTCCTGAGCACCCAGTCTAAGCAAGAGTTCTAGGAAGAGCTGGCACGCCGCCACTTGTGTGTTGCTTGGGGGGATGAAAAGGCAGATGACAATGGGCAGCTGCCTCAGCCTGTAAGAGTAAAACAGGTCAGGAGTCTGGTGGTTCCTTCGAAACAAGACAGCATAAGCTTTCCCAAGCCATCGCAACAGAAAAGCGCGGGAGGCAGGAGGCGCTACAAAGAGCGGCGGCTTTAGAGAACGTTCCAGTTGGCAGCAGTGCACCCGGAGTAGGCGGGCAACACTCCCGACTGTGCTGACGCAGTGAGTAGATAACTCACTGAAAATGTCGAGACAGTGTGTGACTGCAATAAAGAAGGCCAAGGCTAGGCTGGGGATTATTAGGAAGGGAATTGAAAACAGATCAGCCAATATCATAATGCCCCTATACAAATCAATGGTGCGACCTCATTTGGAATACTGTGTGCAGTTCTGGTCACCACACCTTAAAAAGGATATTATAGTTTTGGAAAAAGTGCAGAAAAGGACAACTCGAATGATAAAAGGGTTGGAACAGTTTCCCTATGAGGAAAGGTTAAAGCGCTTGGGGCTCTTTAGCTTGGAGAAAAGACGACTGAGGGGTGACGTGATCGAGGTTTATAAGATTATGCATGGGAAAGAGCAGGTAGAGAAAGAGGTCCTTTTCTCCCTTTCTCACAATACAAGAACTCGTGGGCACGCCATGAAATTGCTGAGCGGTCGGGTTAGAACGGAGAAAAGGAAGTCCTTCTTCACCCAAAGAGTGATGAACACTTGGAATTCACTGCCACAGGAGGTGGTGGCAGCTACAAGCATGGGCGGCTTCAAGAGGGAATTAGATAAACATATGGAACAGAGGTACATCAGTGGCTATGTGCCACAAGGCTGTATTCTTGGTGCTTGGGGGGGGTAGGTGGGAGGGCTTCTAATGTCCTGGCCCCACGGGTGGACCTCCTGATGGCACCTGGTATTTTTGGCCACTGTGTGACAGAGTGTTGAACTAGATGGGCCTTTGGCCTGATCCAACATTGGCGTCTCTTATGTTCTTATGTTCTAAAAGCAGGAGGGACATGAAACAGGTATGTCTGGCTTCTCTTCGTAAGCCCACCGTTTCCCCTGCTCCCAGGTACACACAAATCAGCCTGGGGTCCACGTGCTGATGTTCTCTCCCTAAGAAGCTACGAGGCTCCTCTTTTATAGGACTCGCTTTTTGAACTGATGCCAGCCTTCCCACCGCCGGAACTAGAGCCCACCTTGCTCCCCATTTGTTGCATTTACTCTGGGCCAGCCCCGGGATGGGTGGGATGCACCGGCTCCCGGAGTGACAGGATCCCGACCCAGAGACCGAGGGAACAAAATCTGTACTAAAATCTGTACTGAGAGCCAGTCTGGTGCAGTGGTTAAGAGCAGCAGACTCTAATCTGGGAGAACCGGGTTCGATTCCCCACTCCTCCACGTGCAGCCAGCTGGGTAACCTTGGGTCAGTCACAAGTTCTTTCAGAGCTGTTCTCAGGAGCAGTCCTCCAAAGAGCTCTCTCAGCCCCACTGACCTCACAGGATGTGTCTGTTGTGGGGAGGGGAAGAAGGGAAAGGAGACTGTAAGCTGCTCTGAGACTCCTTTGGGTAGTGAGGGGCGGGGTATAAATCCAACCTCCTCCTCCTCCTCTTCTTCTTAATTTCAGTCACACAGTGTAGAATACCCTTGTGCTGTGGTGGCAGCTGCTGCCAAAGCAACATTTTCTTAAAAAAAAAAAAAATTCCGCACAGTCAATCAAATCGCCAACAGCCAATCGGAAGCCCTGCTGGGCAAAAAGCCCTACCCGGCCCCACCCACTTTCTGAGAACACAGAAAACGTGCGGAGAGGTGCTCTGGGGCCCACGGGCACTGTGTTGGAGACCCCGGACGTAAGGTGTGACTAAGGAAGGGTTTTGCTGAAGGAGAAGGCCCGGCATTGGAAAAGAGTCTTGCAGGGCTGAGGCCACTGGAGCTCTCGGACAGGGACAGCCACTGCCCATCAGAGCAGACAGGGCCCGAGGAGACAGTCTGGCTCGGTACAGAAGCGCTTCATACAAAACGGTACCCCCACCAGGCAATGCTCCCTCTAAGATGTGGAGTCTTGTGAGCAAAAATTCTACTTTGTGAGCAACTGGCATTCAAGTTGTGAGCGAGGGATTTGGCTACTGTGTAAATTAGTCTGCCTTGGAGCCATCTTTCCTGAGCTAAGACAAAAATGTGTGAGCCGGAGGCTAAAAAACTGTGAGCTAGCTCACACCAACGCAGCTTAGAGGGAACACTGCCACCAGGCCTCGGGTTCGCTCCCCTGGAGCACAGTGCAGAAGATAAAACAAGGAGAGGACACAAAGAATTCCTGCGTGGGATTTATTTTCTTCCCACCCCGGTTCCATTTTTTTAAAACCTGTAATTATCACATTGCATCAACCAACAGCACAAATTGGGGAAAAAACCAATAACTCTGAAAACAACGGCAAAAAGGGGGGTGGGGGCGACAACGCACAGTCACAGAAATGTCTTGGTTTAGATTTGCAGAAAAGGATATCATATTGGCATTAACACGGGGTTCAAATGTGGTCCTGGTTCAAATCTGGTTCAAACGTGACGCCAAACGGGCTCTCCCGGGGAAGGGGGGGCTTTGTGCTAAGAGACACTGCGGCATCAGCGGCACCCGAGCTTGCGCGAGACGCCGCATCGGCACAAAGTCCCACGGCAGAGTCCTCGTGCCTCGCACTTCGATCGAAAGACCAACCACTTCCGGAACCGCTCGGCTGTGCGGCGGGAGGGGGCCGGGGAGAGAGCAGCCCCCTTGCCCACCCCTCCACGGACTGCTGAGACACTCCAGTATTCTCTATCTTACCAAACCGGCACGGAAAGATGAGCGTGTGAGAACATACGAGGGGGTCTGAACGGACACGTACGAGTGGGGAAGAAAGAAGAAAGGCAATCCAAACACGAACAAAAAGACAGCAGCGGTCAGGTCTTCTCCCGCCGGCTCACCCGCAGTGCACGTCGGCAGCACACCCCGGAAGCGGTGGCGCAAAGAGAGACGGTGGCGATCCTCCCCGGGTTCCTTCGCCCTCCCCCCTTCCCCGCCCCCTTCACATCTCATCGTCCAGCCCGTAATCCTCCTCCTCCGGGAAATCCCCCACCACAACGTGCTGCGGCTTCACGAAGGCTCCGTATTTCGGCTGGCACTCGAAGTATCGCTTCCCGCCGACGCTGTGGGAGGAAGGAGACCAAACATCACACTGGTGCCGGCGGCCATCGGACGCTTGTGACGACAACGCTGAGGTCACCCTTTCTGTTTGGTGTAGTGGTTAAGTGCGCGGACTCTAATGTGGGAGAACCGGGGTTGATTCCCCACTCCTCCACTTGCACCTGGCTGGATGACCTTGGGCAAGCCATAACTCTGGCACAGCTGTTCTTGAAAAAGGCCCCACCTACCTCACAGGGTGTCTGTGGTGGGGAGGGGAAGGGAAAGGAGTTTGTAAGCCGCTCTGAGACACCTTTGGGTAGTGAAGGGCGGGGTAAAAATCCAATCTCTTCTTCTTCTTCCATAAAAATAACAGCACCCGACGCAGCTTACAAAAATGAGATAAACTCAACAACGTGAAGCACTGAACTCACTACGATGCCGCAGAGCATACCTGGGGATTTCAGAGAGCAAGGCAAAGAGAAATCAGACAGGATTCCCAGGGGCATGAGGCCCTCCCCTGTGCAGGGAAGTTTTATAAACTCTTTGTCAGATAAGAACATCGGAAGAACCCTGCCGGATGAGAGCAGGAGCCCATCTGGTCCAGCATCCTGTCTCACACAGTGGCCAACCAGTTCCTCTGGAGGGCCAACAACAGGGCAGAGAGGCCGAGGCCTTCCCCTGATGAGAATATCGGAAGAGCCCTGCTGGATCAGACCAGTGAGGGTCCCTCTAGCCCAGCATCCTCACACAGGGGCCAGCCAGTTCCTCTGGAGGGCCAACAACAGGGCAGAGAGGCCGAGGCCTTCCCCTGATAAGAACATCAGAAGAGCCCTGCTGGATCAGACCAGTGAGGGTCCATCTAGTCCAGCCTCCTGTCTCACACAGGGGCCAGCCAGTTCCTCTGGAGGGCCAACAACAGGGCACAGAAGGCGAGGCCTGCCCCTGAGGTTGCCTCTTGATCAATAACCAGGATGCAGACTGCAACCTACAAGCGTGACAAGTCTCATTTTGCATAATTTATTCTACACTCACCATTAGTTCTGGCTTTGCTGTTCGAAGGAAGGGACAAGAAACTCTGCAATGTCCTGAATGCCTCCCGCACCTAAACCCCTGGAAATGTGGGCCAGCCACGCACCCCACGGACACGTCTGTTATTCCAGCGAACGCTGCCTGCAATATTCACAGTCCTAAAGGCTAGAAACTTGATTCTCTTTTCTTAAAAATAAAGAGCCAAAGACTGTCAGGAGCTGAATCCTGCAGCCAATGCCATAGTCTGTGCTTTGGCTGTGCTCCCGGGGCATGCGTGGAAAGCTCCAGATGCAAGCTGAACAGAGGAAGCCATGACATTTTCTCCCTCTCCCAAAATACTAGGACTCGAGGGCATCCCATGAAGTTGACGGGCGGTAGGTTCGGGATGGACAAAAGGAAATACTACTTTACGCAGAGAGGGATTAAAAGGTGGGATTGGCTACCAGAAGATGTAGTGATGGCCACAGGGATAGGCCACTTTAAAAAGGGATTAGATAGATTCATGGAGGAGAAGTCTAGCAGTGGCTACTAGCCATGGTGACTAAAGGGAACCGCCACATTCAGGGGCACTAATCCTCCGATCCTAGAGCCAGGAAGCAGCATCAGGGGAAGGCCTCGGCCTCTCTGCCCTGTTGTCGGCCCTCAGGAACCAGTTGGCCCCTGTGTGAGACGGGATGCTGGACTGAATGGACCCTCACTGGTCTGACCCAGCAGGGCTCTTCTGATGTCCTTATCAGGGGAAGGCCTCGGCCTCTCTCCCCTGTTGTGGGCCCTCCAGAGGAACTGGCTGGCCCCAGTGTGAGACGGGATGCTGGACTACAGGGACCCTCACTGGTCTGATCCAGCAGGGCTCTTCTGATGTCCTTATCAGGGGAAGGCCTCAGCCTCTCTGCCATGTTATTGGCCCTCCAGAGGAACCAGTTGGCCACAACTGTGTGACACAGGATGCTGGACTTAATGGACCACTGGTCTGATCCAGCAGGGCTCTTCTGATGTTCCTGCACTGTGAGGCCAGAGAAGCTCCAGACTTTAGCAACTGTGAATACTTTTTTTTTATTTAAATAAACGATTTTATTAGAAGATAAGTCAAATATACATAAACAAGATTACTGTTTAAACAATAATACAGACTGTAAGTGCAAATTCATTTAACACAATGCCATCTATAAACTTATCAGTAGGAACAGCTTATTACCATGACCTTGTCCCTTTCTTGTTATTTTCCACTTGTTCCACTAGAGTAGTAATTACTGAATTAGCTGCCACATTAATAGCCACAGCACGGCTTTCTATTGCTGCCTCATGGAAAAATCCTGATCCTCCTTCTATTGATCAATGGCGAAATAAATGTTGGGACCATTTTGTGATGGATAAAGTAGCAGATAAATATGAGTCACACACACAAGGGTATGCGCGGTCCCATTCCAGATTCATTCAAAAATGGTGTCCTCTTATAACATATTTTACAGAAAACGATGTTTTACCAGCAAATACTAGCTATGCAGATTGGATACATCTATGAGAATTTTTTATGGTTTGAGCACTCTCATAAAATACTTTTAAGATCCTTCTAAAATATAACTGTGAATACTTTGAAGAAAGGAAAGAGCATAGTAAAAGTAAAGGTTCCCTTGCTCGAAAGCCAGTCGAATCCAACTCTAGGGTTGTGGTGCTCATCTCCGTTTCCAAGCCGAAGAGTCAGTGCTGTCCGAAGACATTTCCGTGGTCAGGTGGCTAGCATTACTAGACACCGAGGCGCACAGAACACTGTTACCTTCCCCACTGAAGTGGTACCTATTTATCTACTTGCAATTTCTTGCTTTCGAACTGCTAGGTTGGCAGGAGCTGGAACTAGAGACGGGAGCTCACTCCGTCACGCAGCACACTCGGGTCTCGAACTGCCGAACGACCCACCTTCCACAGTCTGCAGTTCAGCGTCTTAAGCACCTGAACCACCGCTCAAGCCACTGAATCAAACGCCAGGAAGGAGCCGAGCAAAAACAGCATTGTACTTTAATCCTTCGAAGGAGCACAGAGTCAATCGATGAATGCTGGGGCTTTAACTTTTGCAACTTGCAATCTTTCTACAAAGAGCCTTTGGAAGATGGACTCGCCCTCACTCACTGCGTGTCATAAGCCCGGGCAGCCATGCCTCAGTGCTTCTTAGCAGGGGAAGAAGCCCATCATAACCGCAGACACCCCAAACAGGACTGATTGGACAGCCCCTGCTCAACAGGAGCACGCAGGAGAGAGAACTGAAAGATGACCCAGGAACTGGTTTCCAAGGTGACCTTCCTCTGCTTTCTGTGGCTCAAGTGGTTAAGATGCTGAACTGCAGGCTGTGGAAGGTCAGTAGTTCAGCAGTTCGAGACTTGGGTGCCGCATGATGGAGTGAGCTCCCATCTCTAGTTCCAGCTCCTGCCAACCTAGCAGTTTGAAAGCAAGACATTGCAAATAGATAAATAGGTGTCACTTCGGTGGGAAGGTAAAAGCGTTCCGTGCGCCTTGGTGTTTAGTCATGCCAGCCACATGACCACGGAAACGTCTTCGAACAGCGCTGGCTCTTCGGCTTGGAAACGGAGATGAGCACCGCAACCCTAGAGTCAGATTCGACTGGCTTTCGAGCAAGGGAACCTTTACCAAATGGTCTAGTATTAAGTAAGATCCCTTGGACACTGACGGCTGGTTTTTAAGAACAACATGCTACTCTGACTGCCGATGATACGATCTCTTTGTAGCAGTGTGTGTGAGCGAGATCTTGGGGGCACGGGTGGACCAAAAGTTAAATATGAGCAGCCAGTGTGATGCGGCGACAAAAAAGGCTAATGCGATCTTGGGGTGTATCAACAGAGGCATAACATCCAAATCGCAAGACCATAGTCCTGCTGTACACTGCGTTGGTCAGGCTGCACTGGGCATACTGTGTGCAATTCTGGAGGCCTTACTTCAAAAAGGAGGTGGACAGAAGGGAGCAGGTACAGAGGAGACCAAGCCCTGTGAGGAAAGGCCGAGGGACCTGGGAATGTTCAGTCTGGAGAAGAGGAGGCGGAGGGGGGACATGACTGCTCTCTTGGAGTATTTGAAGGGCTGTCACCTAGAAGAGGGCAGGGAGCGGTTCCTGTTGGCAGCAGAGGAGAGGACTCACAACAATGGGTTTAAATTAAGAGCGGGAAGCTACCGGCTGGATCCTAGGGAAAACTTTTTTACAATAAGAGTTGTGCCACAGTGGAATCAGCTGCCTCGGGAGGTGGTGAGTTCCCCCTCCCTGGCAGTCTTGAAGCAGCGGCTGGACAAACACTCGCCAGGGATACTCTAGGCTGATCCTGCACTGAGCAGGGGGTTTGGACTAGATGGCCTTCCAACTCTGGGATTCTATGATTCTCTTTTCTTCCTCCACGGTTCTTATACCCGTTGCGGGTTTATTGAGGACAAATTTGGTAAATATCACTTGGCTGCTATTTCATATTCAAAAGAAGAGGAGATTGGATTTATAGAAGAGAAGAAGAAGAAGAGATTGGATTTATACCCCACCCTTCACTACCCAAGGGAGTCTCAGAGCGGCATACAAACTCCTTTCCCTTCCCCTCCCCACAACAGACACCCTGTGAGGTGGGTGGGGCTGAGAGAGCTCTGACACAAACTGCTCTTTTTCAAGGACAGCTGTGCCAGAGCTTGTGACTGACCCAAGGTCACATCAGCAGGTGCAAGTGGAGGAGTGGGGAATCAAACCCGGTTCTCCCAGATTAGAGTCCGCACACTTAACCACAACATCAAACTGGCTTTCTTCACTACCCAAAGGAGTCTCAGAGCGGCTGACAATCTCCTTTCCCTTCCCCTCCCCAAAACAGACACCCTGGAAGGTAGGTGGGGCTGAGAGAGCTCTGACAGAAACTGTTCTTTTTCAAGAACAGCTCTTATCAGAACTACGGCTTGCCCAAGGTCATCCAGCAGGTGCAAGTGGAGGAGTGGGGAATCAAACTCGGTTCTCCCACTTAACCACCACACCAAACTGGTTCTCATACCAAACTACTTTCACTGCCACTTTGAGCTTTTCTGCATTCATATTTTCCTGGCTTGGAGGTTCTTGTTTCGGGGGACGGGGGGGACATGGCATTCTGTCCCATACACGTTTCGCTCCCTCTAGTGGTCGATTCAATACTACACTGGTTTATGTCTGGCGTATCTCCCTGCAGATTTAAACTGCAGGTTTTTATGCCAGGCATAAACCTATGTAATATCGAATTGACCACTAGAGGGAGTAAAACACACACAGAACAGGGGAAAGAAACCAAGAAACAGGAACTTACAAGTGAGGCAAATGAGAACGGAAAAGCCTTTTATTATATTTATCACCTGATACTATTCGAAGACTATTGCTGCTGCTGTGTTATTGCCACGGTATTTTACAGCTGATTCCTATTTGTAATGTGCTTCTGTTTTATTTCTAATGCCAAGTAGATAAATTGGGGACCACCCGTAAGGGGGTGGGCACACCACTCCCTTTGGGAAGGTATTAGCTGCCGAGTGTGACTTCTGTGGCGCGGCAAGATCAAAAGCTGAAAGATCTGTTTCCGCATCCCTACAGTGGAGCGAGTCGGCCAGGCGGTGGCAGTGTGGCAGCGTGACATTAAGAAGCCCTGACGTCATCAGCCAGCCAACAAGAATACATGCCGTCGGAACACGACTGATCCAGCCCGCAGATGAATCCCCGGCCAGCTACAATGTGTGTGTAATTAAAAATATACTGTATGTTGTCTTCCCTATCCCCCATGAGTATTCTTAGTCCAACTGTCATGAGTAACTGTAAATCACTCTGAGCCCACAGGTGTGTGGGAAAAGGCAATCAATAAATCGAAAGTATTATTATTATTATTATTATTATTATTATTATTATTATTATTATTATTATTATTATTTTTATTGTGGATGTATTCCTTTTAATCTGACTGTTTTAGGATAGGTGCTCTGTGTTTTAATTAAAGAAATGCGCTTACCTGCCGTCATGCTTCCCCATAGGTTCGTCGTACTTTATGCCAATCCAGTAGCCGGGCTTGAACTCCGCTAAACCTGAAAGGGGGGAAGAGAAGGCCATCTTACAGTCAGGGAAGTTCACAATCCAATGCCGAGTACGCTCATTCAAACACAGTCCCACCCAGTTCAATGGACTAGAGCCTTAGTTTCACCTTTCAGAGGCCCATTGGTTTTGCGAATGAAAAACAGTGTTCCCCCTAAGCTGAGTGAGTGTGAGCCAGCTCAGTTTTTTAGCCTCCGGCTCACCTGTTTTCGTCGTAGCTCCAGAGCAAACTAATTGATGCAGCAGCCAAATGGCTTGCTCACAACCTTAATGCCAGTATTTGAAGGGCTGTCCCTAATCACCAAGCAGAATTTTTGCTCACAAGACTCCACAGCTTAGAGGGAGCACGGCTCATAATCCTCGTTCGAGTCCCGATTCTGCTGAGATTCTTTTGAGTCTGCACTGTCCGAAGAGAGCTTCAGAGGGTCTGCAGCGGAACAGCTGGATTCAAGACCAGTGGCACCTTAGAGACGTATAATATTTCTGGCGCGTCAGCGTTCAAGAGAGAGCTCAAAAGCATCCAACGAAGGAAGCTCTGACTCTCTAAAGCCCAAAACCCCAAACTCTTGTTGGTCTCTGAGGTACTGCTGGACTCGAACTAGCTGTTCTACCTGATGTTTCCAAGGCCAGAGAGAGCTAGTTCAAGGAAAGAGAAACGTTTTCCCCACTGCTTTCTACAGACCCTGTCATGATCTGGGCTGTGCCACCAGAGGCCTACTGGGCCCAGGGAGCCTGGCTAGCAGTAGGTGAGGCTGGGCCTACAACTCCCAGAAGCACCTGAGAGGTTTTGGAGCTAAGCTGTGGAGTCTTGTGAGCAAAATTTCTACTTTGTGAGCCACTGGCATTAAAGCTGTGAGCGAGTGATTTGGCTACTGCATCAGTTAGTTTGCCTCTGGAGCCCTCCTTCCTGAGTGAAGAGAAAAATATGTGAGCCAGAGGCTTAAAAGCTGTGAGCTAGCTCACACTAACTCAGCTTAGAGGGAACACTCCTGGTAACTGGAATGTGAATAGCTACATATTTTGTACTTCATCTATTACCAAACAGCTTTCCTTTTTGGCACTCTGGTACTAGGTCTTCACTGATGTGCTTGTTGTTGCTTTTCTCTCAACAAACCAGTTACTGAAAATAGATAAAATTGTGTTGAACTTCTATCCTTTTTACCTGACATGGGTGGTTTGCTTGTTTTCCCCCACATGTGCCATCAGATAGGCTCGCCAGCTCTGAGTTGGCAATACCTTGGAGATTTTGGGGGTGGAGCCTGAGTGGTGGGTTTAGATTCAGAGGAATTAGCTGTGTTAGTCTGTTGCTGCAAAATAGTCCAAGAGTTCAAATAGCACCTTTAAGACTAACAAATAGCACCTTTAAGACTAACCTTTAAGACGAAGACTGAGTGGTGGGTGTGGCCTTATGACACACTTCCGGTGATGTCAGGGGGTGTGGCCTTATGCCACACTTCCAGTGATGTCAGGGGGTGTGGCATATGCTAATAAGGTATGCTAATGAGTTCCCCTAGCTCTTTTTCTACGAAACGACCCGTGCTCACGCCTGTTATTCGACCAAAAGGGAGGTATGAAGGCCTTGGGAGGGTGCTCTGGGCCTTCTCAAGGGATCCTAAATCCAGAGTGGTGGCAGCGTCAGGTGACACCCCACCCGAGCTGTGACAGACCCATTTTAAAATATCCCAATCCCCACCCCGATGAGTAGTAGTGTGGGGGTCCCTGCCGTACTCACCAGCATACATCACCATCCCGCGTTTGTTCGGCTGCCCCGCCACCCGCACCTCACACCTGGATCCCACGGGAATGGCCTCCGTCAGGGCCTTCTCCTCCACCAACTTCTGCTTCTGCTCGGCTTCTTTCTTCACCGTCTCTTCCTCGTTGTATTGGCCCAGTTTGTTGCGTTTCAAGAAGGAGCGGGCGGAATCTGCGGACCGGGGAGGAGACATCTTATACCGAACCCGACCCTCGGTCCACCAAAGTAAGTATTGCCTACTCAGGCCAGCAGCCGCTCTCCGGGGTCTCAGGCGGAGGTCTCACGCATCACCTCCTGCCAAATCATTTAACTGCCGATGCCGGGGATTGAACCGGGGACCTTTGGTTCTGCCACTAAGCCACAGCCCTTCGCCTCAATACAGGGAAACGGAGGCCCCATACTGCATCTAGCATTTGCTCCGCTGTTTTACCAAACCCACGCTGGAACAGAAATCCCCCTCTGCATCGAATGCCGCTTTCACTGCCTTTGAGTGTCGGATTTTACGGTAGCCTCCACGCTGCATGCCGCTTTCACTTCCTTTGATTGTTGGATTTTACGGTAGCCTCCATGCTGCATGCAGCTTTCACTTCCTTTGACCTCTCGGTTTTACGGTAGCCGCCTACATAGATTTGTGGCCGTTTTGTGGCCATTTAGGGGACTCCACAGTCAGTAAGGCTTTACTCGTAATATTGTTTTATGTGGAATTTTATGGCACTGCATTTCTCCACTGTGTTTTATTGCATTTTAACTTGTTGTACGCCGCCTTGAGCCGGTCTGTGCAGGCGAGGCAGGATATAAATCGAAAATAATAAATAAATAAGGCGTTGGCCCCGGGCTATCTGAATGCTGTTTCGAGCCGCATCTTTTTCTGTCCCAGTGTGGGTTTGGTGAAACAGCGGAGCAAAGGCTAGAGAGCCAGTTTGGTGTAGTGGTTAAGTGCGCGGACTCTAATCTGGGAGAACCGGGTTTGATTCCCCACTCCGCCACTTGCACCTGGCTGGATGACCTTGGGTCAGTCACAAGCTCTGGCACAGCTGTCCTTGAAAAAGAGCAGTTTGTGTCAGAGCTCTCTCAGCCCCACCCACCTCCCAGGGTGTCTGTTGTGGGGAGGGGAAGGGAAAGGAGTTTGTAAGCCGCTCTGAGACTCTGAGTGAAGGGCAGGGTATAAATCCAATCTCTTCTTCTTCTAGATGCAGAATGGGGCCTCTAGAGAAAGCCGCCTGTTCCCGGAAATGACCACGTGCGGCTCGGCACTCAGAAATCACACCGCACAGATTGTTTATTTTAAATGGGACAGCATCGATGGCCTTTGTCAATTTTTTACAAATGCGATCTTCATGTAAGATTGGAGCGATCCCGCTGGGCCTTCGGTTGAGGCAGCAGAAGTCCAAATAACATCGGCCTCTGTTGCTTGCAGTTGCTCCATGGTGCTATTTATATTAATTGGCGCCGAGAGCGGCTAATCTATACCAACAAAAACTGCTCCACCGCCCCTACCTGGCACGGGTCTAGAACGTACTGAAACGAAACTAATCACCATCAGGTGTTTTAGATTGGCCTTTTAAATGTTAACGTTGTTAGAATTAGCTTTAATATGATGGTTTTATGAAATTGTGTTTTTTTTTAATGTACTACGATGTGAGTCACCCTGAGCCTGCTTACTGGGTAAAAAGGTAAAGGTAAATGTTCCCTTGCTCGAAAGCCAGTCGAGTCCGATTCTAGGGTTGCGGTGCTCATCCCCGTTTCAAAGCCGAAGAGCCAGCGCTGTCCGAAGACATTTCCGTGGTCATGTGGCCGGCATGACTAAACACCGAGGCGCACGGAACGCTGTTACCTTCCCACCAAAGTGGTCCCTATTTATCTTCTTGCAATTTCTTGCTTTCAAACTGCTAGGTTGGCAGGAGCTGGAACTAGAGACGGGAGCTCACTCCGTCATGCGGCACACTCGGGTCTCGAACTGCTGAACTACCGACCTTCCACAGCCTGCAGTTTAGCGTCTTAACCACTTGAGCCACCGCAGCTCCACTTGCTGGGTAGGGTGCAATAAAAGTCCCGATGAGTAAATAAATAAATATCTGTTTTTACAAGCAGAGAAGACGACACTGGACTTATACCCCGCCCTTCACGGCCTGAAGGCGTCTCAGAGCGGCTTACGATCCCTTTCCCTCCCCCTCCCCACAACAGGCACCCCGGGAGGTAGGTGGGGCCGAGAGAGCTCTGACGGAGGACTGTTCCTGAGAGAACAGCTCCGAGTGAACTTGTGACTGACCCAAGGTCACACCAGCAGCTACATGTGGAGGTGTGGGGAAATCAAACCTGGTTCTGCGCTCTTAACCACTACACCAAACAGGGAAGGCGGCAGAAAAATGTTTTAAATCAATCATTCGGTATCTCAGCTGCATCACTGCCAGAGGACAGTTTGTATCGGTGAGACATGGGGATCGGAAGCTTTACCAAAACCTGGAACGTACGCACCAGCTCCGAAAGCCTGAGTCGGACATTAAAAGATCCATCCATTACGAATGGGTAGGCTACCTTCCCTTGGGACAGTTTCAGACTGAACTGAATCCACGGCCCCAGTGCCTTTGAGCCCGGAACACATAAACTCATGACCACCTTTCGGGAACAAGTAACCCAACGGCTGATTGATCGGTTGATGGACTGATTGACATTACAAGTCAAACCGAGTAAACCAATGGGCAGAACTTGCCAGGTCTTTGTACACAGACTCATTCGGGCGGGTTCTCTCCGATCTCACCTGTTCTTTTCTCATATTCAGCATCGGGGATCTGGAACTTCTCTACCTTTGACACGTCTTCGTATTCCCCAAGCTGCGCGCCGCTCCGGTCGATAACCTGCAGGGCCCAAAGCAAGAGAGCTGCCTCAGCTTCCTGGCCTTTCTGTTCAGACTGGTTGTCAAGACAAGCTTTTCCGTCAGCTTGCTACTTTGAGTTTGGGAACAGGGCCTTGGAAAGAACACTTCCTGCCCGGCGTTTCCAATCCTCGCTGGAAGCCCTGCTCTGCTGCCCTCTGAAGAAGGAGGCCAGCTGTTACAAGAAAGAGCAGGGCCTTTTCGGTTCTGGCCCCGCCAAGTTGCAGAACGAGCTCTCCTCAGCCATTCCCCAGGCTCCATCACTTGAGTTTTCAGCACCAGGTGAAAACAGGATTTCCAAGACACTTGGATGCTCACACTTCCACCTCTGCTGTCTCCTCTAAGAGACCGCTGGCTCCACGGCAATGTTCCCTCTAAGCTGAGGAGTCTTGTGAGCAAAAATTCTACCTTGTGAGCTGTTGGCATTCAAGTTGTGAGCAAGCCACTTGGCTAATGCATACATTAGTTTGCTCTGGAGCCCTCCTTCCTGGGCTAAGACAAAAATGTGTGAGCGGGAGGCTAAAAAACTGTGAGCTAGCTCTCACACTAACTCAGCTTAGAGGGAACACTGCTCCACGGTATGAGTTGCATTACCGACGGAAGCTGGGTGCCATCCGCATTACAACTGGTACCACAACAGAGCAGCAGCCTTCGGCAGTGGCTTTTAGGGAGTCGGGACCTCTGTCTCCACCCCGGCCTCGTATCACTCAATGCTCCTCCATTGCTTCTAGCCCCCACAGGGTGGAAAACCACATGTACCCAACAGGGTTTAAGAGAATAATAATTGGGATTGCGTTTATACAGAGAACTCAGAAACACACAGTTATTGCTACAGTGAACCCCGCCTGGAAAAGCAATCTGAAATCAAAAGATCCTGTTTTTTAATTCATGTTGTATGGAATGCCATACAGAGCAACATGGGGGGCGGACGGAAGACCCCGTCCTTCAAGCTGCTTACAACCCAAATTTCAACAGGAAGGCTACAAACAACGCCCACTTCCAGAGACACCAAGGCTCTGAAAAGCCCCCGGGGGAAGTGTCTGCTTATTAACTGTCCCGCTTTGTGGCCTCAGAACAGCTTGTAGATATTTTTTTTTTAATCAATAAGTTTGGCACATTCTGTGAAACCTGGGAGTTCCTACAATCCAGAGACCGAGCCCCACGAGGAAAGGCTTGAGGGACTTGGGAATGTTCAGTCTGGAGAAGAGGAGGTTGGGGGAGGAGAATAGGACACGGTTTGCTCTCTTTAGGTATTTGACAGGCTGTCACCAGAGTGGGGGAGCTGTTCCTGTTGGAAGCAGAAGACAGGACTCACAATAATGGGTTTAAATTAAGGGCGGGAAGGTACCGGCTGGATATTAGGGAAAACGTTTTTTACAGTAAGAGTAACAGTGGAATCAGCTGCTTAGGGAGGTGGTGAGCTCCCCCTCCCTGGCAGGCTTGAAGCAGCGGCTGGACAGACCCTTGTCAGGGAGGCTCTAGGCCAGTGATGGCGAACCTTTTAGAGACCGCGTGCCCAAACTGCGACCCAAAACCCACTTATTTATCACAAAGTGCCAACACGGCAATCTAACCTGAATACTGAGGTTTTACTTTAGGAAAAACAACTCATACATTAACTTAAGATGATCCAAACAAAGTGAGGAAAGCAATCCCAAATGCTTTCATTTCCTTAAAATTATTTGGCAGAGAATTCGACACTTTAATGACGGTCTGGGCCTGGCTGGGGCGATGGCACGCGTGCCCACAGAGAGGGCTCTGAGTGCCACCTCTGGCACCCGTGCCATAGGTTCGCCACCACTGCTCTAGGCTGATCCTACATTGAGCAGGGGGTTGGACTGGATGGCCTGTATGGCCCCTCCGACTCTGTGATTCTGTAACACCCTCGGCCCACTCCTGGGACTGGCTGTCACCGGACGGAATTCTTCAGCACTGAGAGTCCTTCGCAGCTTTCCGCTGCCCCGGAAAAGGAGCCATTCAGTACTCACATGGATCCTGCAGCCGTCGTCGATGGGGTAAGAGCCCAGCAAGGCCTCGTCGCTGGCCAGCTTCATCACGAATTTGTCGTCTGGCGTGTAGAGCTCCAAGTCCATACATGACGCCGGGCTGCCCACCACCAGTTCGAGCTTACACTGTTGACAGACAGGCAGGCGGGATTTAAGAAAACGGCCAAGCGCTGTGCAGGCATCTCTCCTCTCTCGCCCCACCCGACAGGAACCGCAGAAGTAAGTCAGAACTAAACTAAACCTCGGAGCCCCACGGCGGAAGGGGCGCATCCGACAGTCGAGGGCCACTCTCAAACTGTGCGCCAGCACCAGGAAGAAGATGAAGAAGAGAAGAGATTGGATTTATACCCCGCCCTTCACTACCCAAAGGTGTCTCCGAGCGGCTGACAAACTCCTTTCCCTTCCCCTCCCCACAACAGACACCCTGTGAGGTGGGTGGGGCTGAGAGAGCTCTTGACAGAAACTGCTCTTTTTCAAGGACAGCTGTGCCAGAGCTTGTGACTGACCCAAGGTCACATCAGCAGGTGCAAGTGGGGGAGTGGGGAATCAAACCCGGTTCTCCCAGATTAGAGTCCACGCACTTAACCACGACACCAAACTGGCTACCAAGATGGTAGCTTGGGGGGGGTGTGTGTGTCTCAGCCGACCCATCCAATGTTCCCTCTAAGCCATGAAGTCTTGTGAGCAAAAATTCTACTTTGTGAGCTACTGGCATTAAAGTTGTGAGCGATTTGGCTGCTGCGTAAATTAGTTTGCTCTGGAGCCCTCCCTTCCTGAGCGAGGACAAAAATGTGTGAGCTAGCTCACACTCACTCAGCTTAGAGGGAACACTGGCTCCCATCCCCATCTCTAAAATTTCACCCTTGTTCCTCTCTGCTGGAAGAAAATTAAGGTGGGAAATGCCAGGTCCAAGCCATGCGCCACAACCAGGGAGGGGGTCAGAGAGAGAGAGAACCGGTTGGCAGGCTTATGCGACTGGACGCCAGCCACCAACCGCCAAAGCCACAATTAATCCCGGTTTGGATGCACGGCACACAAAAAAGGTTTTCTGTTTGCGGGGGAACCGCAGTTCAAAATGGGGGCCGGCGACGCTCCGCCACGCACAAAGGAAAGCTGCGCGTATCAAAACAAGCAGGAAACCAAGGACACACACACACACACCCTGCAAAGAGGATGGAAGTACGGAGAAGCGAGTCTGTCGCTCGGAGCAAACAGAAGATCAGCCGGTGACGGACGGCTAGCAGAAAGCCACCGCTTCCTACGCAGCAGAAAAGAAAGCGAGGCCAACAGTGCCATCTGCAGAGATGCTCTGCGAGTGTGACAAAGCTCCCTGGCCGCCAGCATGCCACGCAGTCCTCGATCTAGCAATTCTGCGCAAAAACTCAAGCTGTCCGGCCTGAAAACTGAAGCTGTGCCCTGACATCAAAGCTGGGGGGGTCCCTTTCCCCTCCCCCCAAGGGACACCTTCTCTTTACTGCCGGATGGACAGCGTGGAAATCGACCTGCGTGGACACGCCCCACAAAAGCAGCCACTGGTAATGAAGAAGAAGAGATTGGATGTATACCCCACCCTTCACTACCCAAAGGTGTCTCAGAGCAGCTTACAAGCGCCTTTCCCTTCCCCTCCCCACAACAGACACCCTGTGAGGTAGGTGGGGCTGAGAGAGCTCTTGACAGAAACTGCTCTTTATCAAGAACAACTCTTATCAGAACTATGGCTTGCCCAAGGTCATCCAGCAGGTGCACATGGAGGAGTGGGGAATCGAACCCGGTTCTCCCAGATTAGAGTCCGCGCACTTAACCATGACACCAAACTGGCCCACAGTTCTCTCTTTCCCCACCTCTGGGCTCCACTTGGGCACATTCCAACACACAGACGCTGGCACCATTCCGGCTTCCACCATGAACCACTTTGACGTGGCAAGGGGGTGCCCTCCGACATACACCCACTTTAGGACGACATTCCGCTCCATCACAAGGTCCAGAGCCTTCCCAGCGTCCTGAGTGGCTGCCGATGCCGCACCGTGCGGCAAAATGACATGGTAAGCAGGCACGAAACCGAAGCAGCTCTTGATTGACACGTGCCCGTGCATGTGACTGGCATCCATGCCCTGCTTCAATTTCAGACTCAGAAACACAGTCATATTCCCCGGAAGGGACCTCCGCACAGGAACCGTGCTAGCTCAGCATCAGCCTTTTCGTTTTGAAATGAACCGAGTGAGCTTCTAGTCCTCATGGCTAGGAAAAGAGAAGGCTAAACTAAACACTACAAAATGAGGTGAGGGGGCTGTGACTCAGGGGAAGAGCATCTGCTTGGCATGCAGAAGGTCCCAGGTCCAATTCCTGGGCCGGCGTCTCCAGTTAAAAGGTCCAGGCAGTAGGTGATGTGAAAGGCCTCTGCCTGAGAGACCCTGTAGACCCACTGCCGGTCTGAGCAGACAATACTGATGCTAAGGGACCAATAGTGTGAGTCAGTATACGGCAGCTTCATGTGCTGTTGTACAGCGCCAGTCCCAGATAGGGATGCCAGCCTCCAGGTGGGGCCTGGGATTCCCCCGGAGGGTGGACTCTACGACATTGTACTCCACTGAGGTCCCCGTCTTTCCCAGGCACCCCCCCCACCCCAAATCTCCAGGTATTTCTCAGCCTGGATCTAGCAACTGAAGCCCCAGGTGTTTCATCTGTTTTAGGGATGTCTACACACACACACACACACAGAAATGTATACAGACACACACATATAAACATGCACATACATATGAATATATATACACACATATATAGACACACACAGCCGGGGAGGGTGGGGTATAAAGGTTCCCTTGCTTGGGGTATAAAGGTTCCCTTGCTTGAAAGCCAGTCGAATCCGACTCTAGGGATGCGGTGCTCATCTCCATTGGAGATATATATATATGTGTATATATATGTATATATATGTGTGTGTGTATATATATATATATATATACACACACACACACACATATATATACATACACACACACACACACACACACACATACATATGTTGTTGTTGTTCAGTCGCACAGTCCAGTCCGACTCTTCGCAACCCCCTGGACCACCTCACACCAGGCCCTCCTGTCTTCCGCCGTCCTCCGGAGTTTGCTTAATTTCACGTTCGTTGCCTCGATGACACTGTCTTACCATCTCACCCTTTTCTGTCCCCTTCTTCTTTGACCTTCAGTCTCTCCCAGCATCAGGGTCTTCTCCAGCGAGGGCTCCCTTCTCATTGGGTGGCCAAAGTATTTGCACTTCAGCTTCAGTCTCTGGCCTTCCAGGGAACAGTCAGGGTTGATTTATTTTAGGATGGACTGATTCGATCTCTTTGCAGTCCAAGGGAGACTCCCTCGAGAGTCTCCTCCAGCACCATAATTCGAAACCGTCCATTCTCCGGCGCTCGGCCCTTCCTTACGGTCGGACTCTGTACATCACTACTGAGAATACCATCGCTTTGACCCTATGGACTTTTGTCGGCAGGGTGATGCCTCTACTTCTTCTTATGCCGTCTAGACATATAGACACACATATAGACACACATACACACATGTGTATATATACATGTACACACATGTGCATGTATACATGTATATATATCCATGCACACGTGTATATATATCCATGCACACACATATAGACACACATATAGACACACATACACACATGTGTATATATACATGTACACACATGTGCATGTATACATGTATATATATCCATGCACACGTGTATATATATCCATGCACACACATATAGACACACATATAGACACACATACACACATGTGTATATATACATGTACACACATGTGCATGTATACATGTATATATATCCATGCACACGTGTATATATATCCATGCACACACATATAGACACACATATAGACACACATACACACATGTGTATATATACATGTACACACATGTGCATGTATACATGTATATATATCCATGCACACGTGTATATATATCCATGCACACACATATAGACACACATATAGACACACATACACACATGTGTATATATACATGTACACACATGTGCATGTATACATGTATATATATCCATGCACACGTGTATATATATCCATGCACACAGATATAGACACGCATACACGCATACGTGTATATATCCATGCACACAGATATAGACACGCATACACGCATACGTGTATATATCCATGCACACAGATATAGACACGCATACACACACGCATACGTATATATATCCACACGCATACACACGTGTATATATCCATGCACACACATATAGACACGCATACACACGTGTATATATCCATGCACACACATATAGACGCATACACACATATATGTGTACATATCCATGCACACACATATAGACACGCATACACACATATGTGTATATATCCATGCACACACATATAGACACGCATACACACATATGTGTATATATCCATGCACACACATATAGACACGCATACACACATATGTGTATATATCCATGCACACACATATAGACACGCATACACACATATGTGTATATATCCATGCACACACATATAGACACGCATACACACATATGTGTATATATCCATGCACACACATATAGACACGCATACACACGTGTATATATCCATGCACACAGATATAGACACGCATACACACACGCATACGTGTATATATATCCATGCACACACATATAGACAC